TTGGTCCCTGGCCCTGGGGACCTGGGTCCCTGCAGAGGGAGGTGGCTGTGCTGGGGCTGCCCTGGTGTGGCTGGAGGCACAGCGGGTGCCCAGCAGGCCCCACCCAGCTCTGCTCGGGACCCCCAGGTGGTGCTGGCCACGTGGGACCGTCTGGGCGGTGGTCACTTGGGAACCTCTGCTCAGCGCTGGGGGGGGCAGAAGGATCTGGGGCTCTGCCCCCTCCCGGTCTGCGGCCCCGGGTCCTCGCTGTATGGTGCGGGGCTTGGAAGCACCGAGGCAGGGCGTGTCCGGGCCTCTTAGCACAGGAGCCCGCGGCCCCTTCTCCCTGCAGCAGAGGACGCGGTCAGACCCAGGCAGCCAGGCAGACGCTTTCACGGGGCGTTGCCGCGTCTGAGGGGGGGGACAGGCTGGCTGGGCCCCAGGCCCCCCTGGGCAGGGTCCTCAGGCTCCTCTCTCTGCAGGACTGGCCCTTTGACGACGGGGCCCCCCCGCCCGGCAAGGTGGTGGAGGACTGGCTGAGCCTGCTGAAGGCCAAGTTCTGCGACGACCCTGGCAGCTGCGTGGCCGTGCACTGCGTGGCCGGCCTGGGACGGTGAGCGGGGCCAGGAGGGGGCTCGCGTGGACCTGGGGACCTCGTGGTCTGACTCGCTCTCGGATGTGGGTGCCGAGCCCACATCACAGATGACCTTTCCAGAGGGTTCCCAGACTGGGCCTCCCGGCTCGCAGGCAGGAAGTCCCTCCTGAAGTCTGACCCCACTCCCTCCTGCTGTGGTGGCAGCTTCGTCCCTGCGCCCCGGAGCTGCCAGCCTCACCCCTCCCCAGACACAAAGAATCTGCGTTTGACTAAGACAACCCAGCTTTGCAGAGGAGAGACTGGCCGAGCAAGGTTGATAGCTGAGTATCAAGTTCTTGTCCTCAGCCCAGCACAGAGAGGTTGCCTGGCCCACCCAAGGTCACACAGCAGGGCTGGGACAAAATAGGGTTTGGACCCAGGTGGTCGCCCTGAGCCCAGGCTGCCTGTGGGGGCGCGGGGTGGGGGGAGCAGAGGCCTGGGTGACCCGCCCTGTGTCTGTCCCCAGGGCCCCGGTCCTCGTGGCACTGGCGCTCATCGAGAGCGGGATGAAGTATGAAGATGCCATCCAGTTCATCCGACAGTGAGTGGCGGCTGCTGGGTGGGGTGGTTGGTGACAGCTCAGGGGTCCAGGTTTAAGGGGCTCCCCAGTCCCATGCAGCCTCATATTGTGGTTCCAGTGCACCCAACTGGCGGTGAGGGCCCAGGGCCACGTCCCCTCCCCCTTCCCTGCCTTCTCCCCCCCTCTCCCCTCCCCCCGGGGCAGGAGGAGGGGGAGGGGAGGAGGAGGGGAGGGCCGGGCTGCTCCCACCTCTGGGCTGTGGTCCCTCAGCCCCCTGTGAGTCAGGACAGGCTGGGCCGTCCTGCAGTAATGAGCCGGCTCTTCCCGGCCACTGGGAACCACACAGGTGTCCCCGCTCATGGGACCCGTCTGGTGGCCAGTTGCTGGGTCACAGGGAAAGCACGGTGGAGCCTCGCCTGGCACATGCGTGTCTCTTCCACTCACATGTCATTGGCCAGAGCCAGTCCACGGCCCCGTTTGCCGTCCTGGGCGTAGGGATGGGGGCCTCCCGAGGTGCTGGGTGCACAGCCCCCGGCCCCCGCCACTTGGGGTCCCTCCCTCCCGCCCGATGGCAGATCTGAGATTTGTCCACACGCCACCCCTTGGTCCTCAGGAGCCCATGGCCTGGAGGTGGGCTGCTACCAGGGGGCCTTGGGAGTGTGGGGACCATGGAGGTAGTGAGGTCGGGGGTCGGCTGGGAGGAGGTGACAGCCGGGTGAGTTGAAGGCAGTGGGGGTGGCAGCAGGTGACGGGGAGGGTGATCTGGGCGGTGGCCTGGACGCCTG